TGGTAGAACTTTCCTTTCAATTTTCCACCTGGTAGAATGTTCCTTTCCTATGTCACAGGAAAGGTCGAAAATGTATATCCCATAAACCCTCTTTATTCTCCAGAGTTTTTACTAACCAACCCCTTCCTCCCATTTTAAAAGGTTGCATGTAAGTCAAATATCAGTGGGAATGATGAATCACTTGCAACCAGTGCTAAAAAGCAGCATTTAGGGATTTGACAAACTCGGATTTCAACCCTGGCTCCACCTCTGTGTATTGATGAGATTTCAAACAATCTTTGCTGCCTTTCTGTGCCTCAGTTTCTTAACCTTAAGTATGGTCAGTAATACTTCACTCATGGGGTCCTTGTGAGAATTAAATGACAGTGTGTGTATAAAAAGCTTCCAGTACAGTGTGTAGCCCCTAGGAAGCACACAGAAGATGGATGTTGGTTTGGTGTTGTTATATCCTGGATATTATAATAGCAAAATGGTTTGTTCCATGTGACACCAGGAAAAGTATGTACAGGTCTGTATAAGAGAATTCTATCTTCAGTTAACTATATATAGTTTTTAATTCTATAAGGATCTCTAATAGAATATCTTTATTCCATACACATTTATGGGACATATGTTCTGTGCAGGTACCAGGGCTATGCTTTCTAGGGAATAAATAAAACCTAGCCCCATTCCTCACAGAGCTTACCATCTAGCTCAAACCTAATGCACAACCTCAGTTATAGTGTAATGTAGAAAGTATGTTTCCTGAAAAACTTTCAGATATTGAAAGAGCCATGGAAGGTCCAAGAAAGCTGCATTATTTTTGAAATGAAGATAATCAAAACCAAACCCATTTATCCCCTCTTTTTCAGCCAAATGTGTTGCTCCTCTCAAATTCCCCATCTCCACGAATGGATATCATCATGTGTTTGGTTAGCCCAGCCAAGAATCTGGGAAGAAAACTCTCTTGACCACCTTTCTCCTACCTTCTACTGCCAGGTGGTTATCTCCTTAACCCTCCCAAAGCCTCCTCACCTTTCTCCCTTGCATTGGTTTAAATCAGTTTTTCTTACACTTTTATGCCTTAGCATCTTATGGAAGGCTTTTCAAAGCACAGACTGCTAGACCACCCCCCCCCCAACCCTGAGTTTCTTTTAATTTAGTAGGTCTAGGGTAGGACCTGAGAGTTTGCATTTCTCATCCCAGATAATGCTGATTCTGCTGGTCTGGGTACCACACTGAAAATGACTGCTTTAGTTAATGCCCTCATCATTTGCTGTTGGGATCATTGCCCAGTCTTCCTAGCTGAGCATCTGTCTCTAATCCTTACCCTTCTTCATGCTCTCTGCCCTGCCTTCAGATCTGGAAAAACAAATATTTTCTGGCTATTGTTTGCCCACAGGATAGATGTCAGTATCCCTCCTGTAACCTGCAGTGCCCTCAGTTACCCTGCTCTCTAGTCTCACCTACTGATGGTGGGTAGAGTGCAGTGTGCTGCTCTGTAGGTTCTTTGACTCTGCAACAGAAAAGAATTTCAGAGCGAGTCCAGAGCATAGTTTAAGATGGAATTTATTAGAATGAAAGAGACATAACTTAAGGGAGAGTATGCATCTCTTAAGAGAGGGAACATGCTGCCTTTAACAAGAAACTGTATATACTTTTGCAATGATAATTAAGCAAACCACGAGCTAAGAGTGGAGATCTGCAAATATATCTCATCACAAGTTGTGATTACCAACTCTCAGCCTTTAAGGTCACAAGGACCTTCTAAATAATGAAAGTTACTGTCTAACTAGGTGTGGGCTTTTCTGAAAGCATCATGTCTGGGATTTGGGTAACTCCCTATTTCCACATTCCAACCCACAAGGTCGTCAGGTCTGATATGCCTGGTCAGTTGGGTGAAGGTAATGTAACAGAGAAGAAAGATGTCTGAACACTTACCGTATTTTAATTTGAAAATACCTACCTAAGAAAATCTGCCTAACTACTTCCAAACTAAGTTAACTATGTCTGCCTCACTACTACGTTGCTGATCCTATCCCTGACCTCCAGCGCACTGAACTGCAGTTTCTTAATGCCCATATCACTTTATGTTGTGTCCTTTGAATACCTGTTCACTCTCTCTGCAATGCAATTAATTCCTTTCTTAACTGCCTAACTCCATTGGGTCCTTCCAAACCACTGGGGAATGCCTTTTGGGGAGCATGGCCTCTTCATCTGCAGGTACTTGCTAGTCACCTCACCTAGGTGCTTTCTACTGCAGGGTGGTTATCACATGATTGTACATACCTCCTAGTCCACCTCACCCACAAGATTCTGAACTTCCTACCAGGAAAAACCAAATGTGTTATCTTTAAAGTCACAACCCCGAGCAGTACATTCCCTGACACAGAATGGAAATCAATGGACGTTGAATGAAAGAGGCGATCCAGAAAGGCTACTTGGAGGAGGTGGGCATTATAGCCAGAGATAAAAAGTGTTAGGATTTGGACATGCAAAGAGAAGCCAAAAACCAGAAGAGGAAGCATAAACCTGAGATTGAACTTGGTCAGGCTTTAGTATGAGGAAGGAGCAAGGAGGGATCTCATTTGGCTGGCCACAACAAGTGTGGTCTTGAGAGCCAGTTGAGGAAGGTAGAATTAACATTACACAGAGTATGACTGAATATGGGAGCCCAGAAAAGAGCTGGCTCAAAGGTGAGAATACACAGAATATCAAGAACTGGAACCAGGCTATCCAGAGATGGATTAAGCTGGATAAGAAGTAAAGACGGATGAAGATTAAGAGGATGGTAGTGGCCATGGTGAATCTGGAGACAGTCCACTGTCTTATTTATGTGTCTTCTAACCCACCTGATGGTTGTTTTTGTCTCCAGTGCCTAATAAGTGCTCAGTGAATGATGAATGAATCTATACAGTGGAATCAGAATAGAGTCCAGGAGTGGTCCTGCATGAGCCAGGAAGAGGAGGGGTGGTCTCAGTGGTAATTTTAGGTGGTGCCATTACCATCCATGATGCCACTGCCGAGAATAAGATTAAGGCAAGAGAAAAGGTAGGCTGCTGACCACTGTGGGATGACCAGTCAAGGGACCTCAAGTGATGGCAGCAGAAATCCAGGAGACCATTGCTTGTCATTAGAAATGGAGAGGGACTTCGCATTTATGAAGACCAAACTAGCTGAGAGCTGAGATGTACCCGCTGCCTTCAATGTGCTAATGCAATAAACATGAGCATTCGCACCTTTATTCTATGTTTAAAGATACGTCTAGAAAGAGTTATACATTGTCACTGCTAATCTACTTTTTTCCTTGTGAAATAGACAGCTTTATGACTGTTATGACACTGTTCTCAAAATCTGACTACTGCTGTTCTTCCATTAAATTTAACACATTGACAAGTGTTTAGAATATAATATAATGTTGAATATGTGGGGGGAAAATGGTTTTCTATCTGACCTGTTCTTTTAGTTTTCTTGTACAATAATAGTTTTCTTGTACTTGCTTGTATGACTCTTATGCATGCAAGCAAATATATGAATAAAAATAATCTAAAGACTAAAACATTAATGGTCTTTATATTAAATATATGGACAGTCAAGTGTTATTTTTCTAAACAGGCATGCTCAGAGATAAATTACCTATGATGATTGTTTCAAATCTGCAATTATCTTGGTAAATCCATCAAAAATCAAAATTCATATGTGACCAAGCAAGAAGTTTTACTACCAAAAACAAGCGCATGCAGGCGGTGTATAGGGGATAAACAGTAGATAAAGAGGCAGCATTGAATTTCCTTTTATACTCAAGCTTGAGGACAGGCAGACCATTATTCACCCAGGCCTGTACTGACTAACAGAAGCACAGGGTTTATGAACTGCAAGTCATTTACTTTTAAAATTCAATTTCGTTTCTTCGATCATTGTGAGCAGGAATATCTATAAAAGGTTTAGACAGAGATTGTAGCATAGCAATCTATAAAAGCATGTATTAGTTGGAGTTAACTCACTGAACAAATATTTATTGAGCACATATATATGTATATATGTCACCCCTTGTGTTTGAGACATGAGGGGACAAGGCAGACCCAAGTTTTCTGTCAAATTTGAGATGAACCTGGAGTTCCAGACTCATATTTTATTGTTCTTGTTGCTACTGTGGTTAACATGTGAGTGACCGATTTTGTTTCCAGCTTTCAACAGAAACTATTTCCTAAAGCTCGAAATGCTGCATTTCTGGTGTTCATCCCAAGTAGCAATATTCAATGCAATTTTTAAAGATTCCACAGTGTGTCTGTTTTGATGGGGCCAATTAGAAAATCTGGGGAAAGAGGAATTCAGGAAGTCAGGGAGTCATAAGAATGCTTGGAATTTTTAACAGCTTTCACTAAACATGTTCTGTATCATGACATGTTCCTAAAGACCATAAAAGTTAGTTTATATGAACAGAAACTACTTTTTGCCTTACTGATAACTACAAATAAATAATTCAGATGACCACCCACCAAAAAACCTAGACCTTTGGGGGTTTGTGTGTTTCCTATGAAATATTTTTCTTATACATTTTTATCCTCAAAGAGAAAAATAATGAGGTGGTAACTTATCTTATTCCCATTTTTAAATTTTGTAGTGCTCGTTTCAATATTTCTGTATAACTAATAATATTATAGAATAAGATAATGATTAACTTCTTTCTTTGATTTGACTTTAAAGGGATGGAAGGCATTCTTTTATTTGCATTGCAATACAGCAACAGTGATTTCTCCAGTTGAAATTACTTAATCTGTCATATCGGTTTCATAGTAGCAATCAACTAAATTAGATACAGGACTATAAATTTAGATAGCACTGTTTTATTCACTAAGAAGCCTTATGTGAAAGTTCATGAGAGCTGCACAGAGCACAGCTGTTTGGTCGTGGTCCAGCAGTAGGAAGTGGGGGTAAAAGGAGCTGGGTAGATAACCTTTAGTTAATATGGTTTGGTAAATTAGATCCTATATATGCTAATTCTATGCTTTTTTTAATAGATGGAACTGATTAAAAATATAAGTACTGCCGAACAACCCTATTTATTCACTCGACATGTTCATTTCCTCAACTTCTCAAGGTAAGACATTTTCCAGTTTAACGGTTCTTTCATTTTCTCCGAATGAACAATTACTTTAGAAATCTACCTTTATTTACAAGGTAGTACAATTGCCCTTGGAAAGACATTTTTAATCCATTTAGTTTATTTTTGCTAAGAGAGAGTGATTTGAAATATTTGGACAGAGGCTTCATTTCTTCCTAGAATACCATCTTAAATCTTTTGAAAATTTGGATATTTTTAATAAGAAGCCATTTGACGTGATAGCTCTAAAAAAAAATCAAGTTTTGTGTTGAAAGAAATAAGAAGGTAGGGGATGGGTACTGAAATATTTTATTGCATATTTTTATATAGTTTGATACTCTGAGAATACCTTAATGGTAGAGAATGCATATTTTATAGACTCCAAAGAGCTAGGACCAGCCTCTTTTTAACACAGTCATGTGCCACATGAGGACATTTTGGTCAACAACAGACCTCATATGCAATGGTGGTTCAGTAAGATGAAAATACCTTTTTTTTTTTTGAGTTGGAGTCTCACTTTGTTGTCCAGACTGGAGTGCAGTGGCTGCTCCCAGCCACCGCAGCCTCAACCTGCTGGGCTCCAGCGATCCTTCTGCCTCAGCCTTTCAAGTAGCTGGAACTACAGGCGCGCGCTACCACACCCAGCTAATTTTTGATTTATTGTAGAGATGAGGTCTCGCCAAGTTGCCCAGGTGGGTCTCAAACCCATGGGCTCAGGCAATCCACTCACCTCACCCTCCCAAGGCTTGGGATTACAGGCTGAGCCACCAAGCCTGGCTGAAAATACCCTATTTTTACTGTACCTTTTCTGTGTGTAAATACACGTATACTTACCTTTGGTTTACCATTGCCTACAGTATTCAGGACAGTAACATGCTATCCAGTTTTGTAGCCTGAGAGCATTAGGCTATACCATCTAGCATAGGTGTGTAGGAGGCTAAACCATCTAGGTTTGTATAAACACACTCCATGATGTTCACATAATGAAACAAAATTACACAATGATGCATTTCTCAGAACATGTCCTGTCCATTTGATTACTGCATGTTCGACATCGCTGAGGTACTTTAGAATTCTGATTTTTTTCCTTCAGTGACTGTGGCCTTCTTATAATGATGCTGATCCTTAGTTTTAGTTTTTTAGCCCCTCTGCTTGTTAAATTTGCTAGCTTCAAGTTCTGTGCATTCTCTTCCCCAGTGGTTTGCTAGCATAGGTTTGCTGTCCCTGGGCCTCACTCCTGAACTGATGACCCCTGGCTTCCCATTCTTCCCCTGTGGTCCCCACTGTCTGCACTCACAGATGGAATCTCTCTACGACAGATCCTAGGTTCCAGGGGTAGAACTACTGAACAGTCTGGCGATCCCTGGGCCTCTCTGGTCAGCCATCTGATGTGCACATCCCTCATTTTAAGGGGATAACAGTACCTCACAGGTCCACACGAGAGCACCAGTCCCCAGCCCTGAACGGCAGGCAGCACCTGCTGGTTAGTGCCAACCTAGTGACCTGAGGGCCAGGCATCCAGGGAGGCAGACTCTGAGGGGAGGACAGGACTCTGCCCTGAGCATTCACTGCTGCTGTCAGGTGGGTGCCTGACAACCTACCAGGCTGGGAGAAGGTTTTAGCCTTCAAAGGAGGCCTCTTGCAAATTAAGTGCAAAAAATGAGATTTGGCAACGCAAGTTATTAAGCAGAGAAGAGGAGCCTTGTCTTTAAAAGCAAACATCTCCTGAAGTTTCCCCAGCCTGCCTGGTAACCAGAGTTTTCTTGGATAGTGCATAGAAAACCAGGTTTTCTACAGAGACCCTGGGCCAGGTGCTGGACAGTTTGGAGTGTGTTTCTATCCATGTTTATGAAGTGGCTAGTCACTGGATTGATGGGTTGTATGCCTTGTCGCTTCCTTCCAGAAGGCCATGAACATATCATCAGACATAATTAGATAACGAGGGCTTGTTAGCTTTTTCAGGCATTGTGTTTTATGACTTCTAAAGAGAAGAGCACCATTTTTCTGATCCTTGCTGTTCCAGCGAGCTTCCCTCTACATCACCCCTGACGTCCTCAAACCTCATTCATGAGTACTTCTTGCTTCATAGGTCAAAGTTTTACAACCAAACAAATTGCAGAGCCATGAATTTTAATAATTATCTTAGGACACTGTAAAACACTAATGAGAAGCCATGGCCAACATCTTAATTGGATCAGCAGAATACAACATGGTGGCCATATTCTAATCATGGCCTCTACCATCACATACGTGGACAGGAGTTTCATCTTTATTGCTTTAATTCTGAAAGAAAAAAAAAGATAAATGCCTTTTAGAAGACACCATGTCTGCGGAAAAAGGTGTTGGCCTGGCTATTAGTACCTCTGGGCATTGGAGCTTACCTTCGCACTGGCCATGATTCTGGGCAAGTCATTCAGCCTCTTACGGGAAGGAGGGATCTCTGTTTTTCCATCTATAAAACAGGGACAATTCCTGCTCACCCCAGCTACCCTGTAGGGATGCTCTGAACATGTGAAGGAAAGACCTTCTGAGAGAAGGATGCTATATATATTTAAGGTGGCATTTGAGGGTGTTTCTTATAGAAGTCTCAGTCTGAACCCACGGTTCAGCGCCTGTTTCTGTGGCGACGCCTGAGGGCTGGGCCAGGCTCTGTTTCTCCTCCCTCAGTTCCATTTTGTTCAAGTAAACACATGTTTATGGAGTACCTTCTATCACTTGTATACTGGACTAGAACCGTGGCTTCCCCCATGAACATTAACTGTTACCCTTGACTTTGAGAAACTCAGTTCTCCCATCAATGGGTGATGAATATAAGGAGAGGCGGTCGCAGGGCTCCCCCTAGGGGAGGTGGGAGGAAGGAACCTCCCTATGGGAAGAGAACCTGAAAAGGCTTCTCTGCAGGGACATGAGGATTGGGTCAGCTTTAGACAAATGAGGAGAAGGGCATTCCCAGTAAAGGAACTGACAGGAGCTGAGCTGGACCGAGAGAAACTGAAAGGGGTGCAGAAAGTGCAGCCCAGAGGATGGGAACATCTGGAATGGAACGGCAGTCAGGGTTTTAAGCAGGAATAACTAGAGACTGACCTAGCCAGCTCTGCTCCTTTCAGTAAAAAGTCAACATTGACTCACCCCACACACTGGAGCCCAGGGCCTTAGCTACAACACTTACACAGAAATAAAGAGAATGATAAGTTGAACTTTAATATACGACAAGGCTATTGTTAAATTCCTAGAACATGGGAGGTTAAAAATCAGCTTTTCCTTTTTTAAGGGAATAGCTTTATTTAAGGAAAATTTCTTAGGTATACATGGCAGACTTTGGGCATTCAAAGAAAGGCCCCAACTATACAATTGACCAAGAAAAGCAAGTAAGTTGGAACTTGTTGAGAGGATCTTTTTTTTTTTTTGAGTTGGAGTCTCACTCTGTCGCCCAGACTGGAGTGCAGTGGCCGCTTTCGGCCACCGCAGCCTCGCTTGCTGGGCTCCTGCGATCCTTCCACCTCTGCCTTCCGAGTAGCCGGAATTACAGGCATGCGCTACCACGCCCGGCTGATGTTTTGATTTATTGTAGAGATGAGGTCTCGCTGCCCAGGCGGGTCTCGAACCCGCGGGCTCAGGCAATCCACTCACCTCAGCCTCCCAAAGGCGCGGGATTACAGGCTGAGCCACCGAGCCCGGCTTGTTGAGAGGATCTTAACATCCTTTAAAAAATAAGCTCTAGACATACTTTGAATGATAAGGTATAAAGATAATTAAGCTGCTCTTGAGTAAACCTACCATTATAGCTGCTGACAGGCTTATTGCTTGTTTCAGGATAATGAGGTTCCCAGGAGAAGAATTGATACTGCAACCTAATATTCTTTGCTGATATTTCTAATCTTCCACACGTCGTTAACATGCAGCAAGATACTTGTTGGTGAGCGGCCTATAAGAATGGAAGTCTAGCCCCTCTCTCTCCACACCTTTTGCACACAAATGCTCTGAACTTTTGAAGGTTATGGCATTATACCCCAACTAGTTGCCCTTTCTTTCTTTTTTTTTTTATTAAAGATGTTATTTTTACTTTAAAATTTAGATACTCTGAGTCATAGAAAATGCTTTCCTGTGAGTTTTTGGTAATTCAATAGCTGACTTATTTTATTTTTTCAGTTTGGAATCTTAGTGCCTTTCCTTGGGCTGCTCTTTCATACTGTTTTTGAACTCCCTAGAAATTCAGACCAAGCAGATGCTTTTTACCTGGACTACTGGAGAATTGAGCCAACTGTCCTAAAAAGATGCTGCTCTTTTTTTGTGATGTTTAAATCAGGTTTTTAATATTTAAGAACTATGATTTCATGTGTCTTCTTCCAGTTTTCAAAGTATGCTTAGGATATGATTTTTTAAAAAGATCCACTTCCCAACATGGACAGTATCCCTCCAAAAATGCCTCAGATCCACACACTGGAAAGACTTGTGACAGACCACAGTTCCATTTTTCTGTTCCCTTCCTCCAATTTTGTTTGTTTTCTAAGCTTTCGGTGTGTGGGGGGAAGGTCGAGGATATAATTCTTTCTCCTGTCACCTTCCAACTGGGCTCTTGCAGGGAAACCCTTAAGAAGTTTGCCTCAAATCCCAGTGTTATCAAAATAATCCAAGTGAATTCTAAGAGATACCAATATGCTAAGTAATGTCAAGTCACTACTTCTCCAAATGTTTTTTCATGTAGTTCTTCCTTTTTCACCCATGACCCCTTCGCCTTCCTTTGCTTCCATTTCTGTTTTCTATGGATCTCAGATGATGGCTCCAATGTCAACACTAACTTGCAAAACAAAAAAATGAAAAACAAATCAACCTCCAGGCAAGCAGGGTGGGGCGTGATGTGGAAGGGGAGGTGTTTCGAACACTTACTCTCTCTTTCCTGCAAGTGAAATCTTAATTACCAATGTGAACAGTGTTTCTCACATCAAATTTTGTGAGCAAAAAATCTGCCCTCTGATGGCATTATTTAAGAAAACAAA